TATATATATATATATATATATATATATATATTTTAAAAGTATATGCATAACATGTGGGAATGTTGATCACAGTGCATCATAGTGATCATACATGCAGTACCACCATCAATGATAACATAGTGGCAATGATATCAGGAGCAATAACCATCAAATCTGCATAAAGCAAATTCAGATATCATCATTGTTTCCCAAGAGAACATCATACACCAACTATATATTTCATTAAACTAAATTGCTTCAAATAGGACATTATTGCTATTATACAGATTATGTCCATGGTAGACATTGTTAGATATACATGACTATTCATTTTCAGTTTAATACGAGAGTATTATTTAGTTTATATTGTGTGAGCATTAGAGTAAGTTTTTTGTTTTTTTTTCAGTGAGAGTTATGGCAAATTTGCTTATATAACTGTTTAATAATCATTTGTTATGTAGATCAATTGTTGTGAATTAATATCATACTACTCAAACCTCTGAACTTTTCTTGTTGCTATAAGTGAGTATTGTTACATCATAACATCATATTGTTACTTCATAGTTTGTAGAAAGCACTGGGACTCAGTCAGGCAATATATATATATATAGGCGACCAAGTTAGTGGAAGAAGAAAAAAAAAGTGAAGTTAGACTATGTGATTGTGAGTTTAGTCAGAAAAAGCATATAGTGGCAATTTCTAAAGTGAAAGTATCACAGCTTGTATTGTAATAACAGAGAGAAAGAAGAATAACTTGTCTTGTCAAAGAGTGTTCTTAAATAACTGAACCTGCCTGTGTGGAATTTGATGAAAAGAAGATAATTAATTAAAGCTCTTGGATATTATTATGATAACCAATAGTGTAACAAATTTTTTTGTACATATGTTTGACTTGTTTTGAATATATTATTTTGAAACAAGTGGAATATGTGCTGTCAGTTTATTGTTGAAATTTATTGCCAAGAAATCACAGACACCTACTGTAGAGAATCTGGCCCTATAAAAACTGACACAAAAAAGTAAACAAACAAGGTTTGTGATGTCATTATTTCCTCAAGCTACAAATCCCTATTTTGACTCTTCTAAATATTACAGTTCTTAGACATTAAATTAAAAGATCGATTTGTAGCTTTAAGAAATACAGTCAATGCTATGTCTCAAACCTTAAGCTTGTTTGTTTATAATTTTTTTGCTATTGCATGTTTCCTTTAAGCTACCTGTCTTGTTTCAGTAATTTTTTGAAGATCCCTATTCCCCCTTTTAAATTAAAATTTTTCAATAATCTTGTACTTCTTGTTTTTCATGTGTATTATTTATCTAATATTCTAAAAGTAGCTAACATGTCAAAATTAGAAATGTATGAAGTTAGATAAGATTAGATTAGGTAAGATAATAATAAAAATTATTCAAAAGATACATTCGAGATCAGCTAAAATCTAAACCCATTCTTTATTTTCAACTGGCAGTCCCCACTACTTCTCATTGAAACTCATTCCATTTTGTTTGTTTTTGTTGAATGTCATGCAAATCTATTCAAAGGTTATCTATGCCAGCTGCCCCTAACTTTTATAGACCACCCATAGCCAACACTTGGGCTACTCTCAAGCAACAAATAAAGGAATTCACTATCACAGGATAATGCTCCCATGACATCTTTGGTGAAACTCATTCCATAAGTCAATCACCCTCTTAGAAAATAAAATTTAAATTGTGCCTAGCCTGTCTTTTCTGAGTATTAAATATTTGTCCTCTA